GTCTCTTGTGAACTGTCTACTCATAAACGTGCAGAGTTTTAGTTCCGTCAGCATTCATTCATTCACCTTGTGTAAACTGACGTTCAACATCAGTGTCGATAGTTTTACCATATGCTTGTAGATATTAAGAGTAAAGTCGAGTCAAGTCAAAAATCTTTATTGTCATTATGCATAGCACAACGAAATTTCTTCCAGCAGCCCTCGGCTTAAAAGGCACATTATTTACATAAATAACACAAGAATTGTACAGTCAATATAAGAATATGAATTGATAAAAATGAATATGTATAGGACCTAATCAGGTCAACAGCATATTAGCAGCAGAAGAATATAGTCCCATTGTAAATATCTGTTTTATAAATGGAAAATAAGCTTTATGAATGAAGCCTCTGATACTATATGGCTAACATGTGACTTTTCTGATGTACAAATAGCTTATTGAACCTTATGGGTTCAGGTACTGTGGTGTACACTGGAGTAGACTCTATTAGGCACAACTGTTAAATCTGATACAGGACAGTTCTGCCTTTATAAATCTTATGATGCTTTGCCTGATACATTCATGACTGTAGCAGAACAGGCACATGTCTACTATATTATATAATGCCGTCCACTACAACATCATTGCTAACTTTAACCTCAATACACATGATGGAACTAAGTAACATCCCTAATGTTACTTTTTAGAACAGAACTAGCTAATTCTATTTTAGTTCCTAAATGTTATGACACCCAGTGCTAGGTGAGAGAGAAAAGTGTTAAGGTATAATTTAAGGTGGAGCCACTCTGTTGTATTAGACTGTACAGGTATAGCTACCAGGCTGACTATTGTGTGTATTTTTCCATGCTATCATAATTTTTTACTTGTGTTGCTTTTTTTTCTTTCAAAAAGGCTAAAATCACAAGCTTGGAGGACAATGGCTGTTCTGTAGAAAAATCTGGGTTTTTTTCCCAAATAAAAGACTGGATTATATCTGTTAAACATGACTTCAGTGTATTACTGTAATGGTTTGCTTTGTCCATTGTGATAGCTTATTATGGAAGACGGCATGAAAGTATTATAAATGAACTGTAATGTAAACATGTCTGTGTCACCATTTACAGGGGGTACTGCTCCCGCAGGCTGCGTCGTCTTCGCAAGACTCTTGGCTTCAAAATGGGAAACCGTCACAAGTTCATTGGGAAGAAAGTAACTGTCGAAATACTTTCTGACAGCAGGTAAAGGAATCAATAATCTAAGGTGGACAGTAGTGTAGTGCATTGCCTGATGTTGTGAACGTGTGTCCCTCAAATACCAGTTTGACACAGGATAATCAGCAGTGCTGAAATCAAATAGTTGTTGACGGTTTATCTCTTCTGTGTCAATTTCCAAAAGGTTTAGTGCCTCTTTCTGCTGACATTCCATTTCATAACTGCCGATTCAGCTTAAAACTGGTATACCACCCCAGTGGCCATTAGCGCCTTTTTAATCTCAACATCAGTCAGGAGCTGTCACAGATTGTTAGTTATATAAAACTGGTTCTGTAAATGTCATTTGGTACATACAAGTATCACCAAAAATCCTCTGCATCTTCTGTGGTATATGTATAGAATGAATATCCTGTGGCTTCCAAAAGTTTTCAGACCCCTTTATAAAATGATGAAATTCCATGCCCCCCTCCAGATATCTATTGCTGGTTTTGATGGAGGCAGAGCGTGCATGGAGCTACGCCATGCAGCTGAAGCAGGAGGCCAATACAGAGCCGCGTAAGCGCTTCCACCTGATGGCACGTCTGCGCAAGGCGGCCAAGCACAGTGAGAAACTGGCGAAGCTCTGCGAAAGTCACCGTGTTGATGCCAAGACAAAACTAGAGGCACAGGTACGCAAGAGAGTGTCACCTAGAGTCTATGTTCAGATATACTGTGCAGTTGTAGAATAATGGGTATACGTCTACAATTAGACTGCACCCTTACAGTCGGCCTTTGTCACATTGTCCTTCCACTCTGTATAATTTGTTCATGGTGGATACTTGTTACAATGTATGAAACAACTACTGACATTGCTCATACACAGAGCCTTTTATTTAAAGCCATGTTACAGGAGCACAAATGAGATTCTAATTCTTACAACAGCCACAAATAGTAGTTAATTATTTAATTACAGGCCTACACTGCATACCTCAGTGGCATGGTGGAGTTTGAACTTCAAGAGTGGAAGCGTGCCATGGAGGCCTTCAACAAGTGCAAGTGAGTTTTTAACATCACTATAGTTTATTAATACATTGGCAGAATAAGTGGGTATATGTTTGTCATGCATAAATTTTCTTTTTTT